CCGTTACCAGCATGAGTTTTTAAAATTTTTTGTCAACAACTTGAAAGAATATCACAGGTTTAACTTGACCCTGTTGGAGTGTAACTCTTTCCTACAATCTGATACTTTACTTATTTCAATAGTCCCTCTAGTTTCTGAATAAGAGACATTTGAATGTCAAAAATCTGCCCCTGTTTCCCCCCGTTACCACTTGACCGGACCCAATAATAGTAGTATTAGTAGTAGTGGTGGTAAATGGTCCAGGAAAGTGTTCAAAACAGTTGGTGATCTTAATACTAACAACATGTTTCCTGACTTTTATCAATTATCCGAACAATATGACATGAATAAACATCACTTTTCAAAATATTTATAAATAAGTAATGAGTTGAGAAAAGAATACTTGGACACTAAACGCTCCACACTTTTGTAGAGGTCATTCAAACAAAGTGAGTATGTACAGACAGACACATTCAACATCGATCATAGGACATTTCATTCTCAGGCTGAGCACGTTAGGACATGGTGTTTCAGACCAGTCAGAGTAAAAAACTCAGAGTCAAAGATGGAACATGTCCATTGGAAATCTTGTTCACATGCTTTGGAGTTGTGTTAAATCACAATCTTACTGGAACTGTGTGATGAGGAGAGCTGATGTGTGGGACTTTGTCTGGATGCTGAGTACAGGATTTGGATTTTAGGAGATGCTGCACCACTAAATCCTAACGGCTGCTAAAAGATATTTTGTGCTATTGGCAGCGACTACGGCCAAAAAATGCATCCTCAAGAATTGGAAACCTCTGCTCTCCCAAATTAGACAAACTGTACAAACACCCCAGGGAAGATCTGACTCTGTGAGGGGAAACAAGAAGACTTTGAACAAATATGCACCCCCTTGGGCATATTGCTGGGACTGAACATTGGTATGTAAAGAGAGGGCTGAGACGTGGGAGGGTTTTTATTTATTTTTTGTTGCACAAAACAAGAACAAAAATAAAAGTGTTAAATTCAAAATAATAGTATAATAATAATATAGTATAATAATCAAAATAATAGTAATAGTTGTAGCAGATGTAATATCAGTGGGCATGTTATCAGTCCGCCCCAACACCCTCTCACCTCACTTACAGACTTATTCATACTGTTACATGCCTTGCCCAAGAGCACAACAACAGTGTGCATTTTAATACTTTGGAGCGCCCTCATGTGGAACAGTCTTCACCCTACAGCCGATCATGGACTTGACAGTTAATTTTTACATATGAACTGACACACTATTATTATATACATTATTATACAGATACTGAAGGGAGGATTTGACCTATTGTGCATGAGGAAACCCACCCACACAGGGAGAACATGCAAACTCCACATAAAAAGGCCTGGGAGTTGAACCAGGAACCTTCTTACTGAGAGCCAGAGTGCTAGTCACCCAAGTCCAAAAACAGCTCAAATAATACAGCGTTAATAATGACAGCATTAACTATATACAATATGCACACACTATTAATTAGGGCCCGACCAATATATCGGTTAGCCGATATTCTCGGCCGACATGGGCACTCAGGAACATATCGGCTTAAATCTTGGCAATATGGGTCGATATTTCATGTGGGCATGTTATACCTCATTATAAAGATTAGACTCTCTACATTATGTTAATTTAATCCAATTTACAGACAGATAAATGTCAGTATTTATCTGCGGAGTCATTTGAACACACCCCCAGAGTCACGTCACTCACGTGTGTTTGTTTACACTCGCAGACACAGATCCAAACACTGAGATTATTTTCTTTTTACGGACAATTGGTTTGAGTCTGGATTAAAAGGACATTTATTAGTACAGACTTGTGATGTGAGGAAGAGCCTGTGTGACGCTGAGTGTTGGAAATGTGTTTTGAAGCTACTTTTGTTTTTTTGTCATTGGTTAGCTGCTGTAGCTCTCGCACATAAACAGGCTGTTTTCTATTGGCCTATTGTAAAGTGACTATATTGGCCGTATATTTGTTACTGAACCTGCATTGATATGTAAATGAGCTGTGAACAGAGGTGTGATCAACATTTACACATATAATTAATTACCGCGGCATGCACGCATTTACAGCTGAAGGCTAATAGCGGTAGTTTACTTTCTTTACTGGCTAGAATGTGATGCAAAAATGCCATTAGTCTGACCTACTGTCTGTAAATATGACGTAAAGAGACAGAATAACAATAAATGTTTGTTTGTTAAACAATTCAAGATTTACAGTGAATTTTTACATCACTAAATATATCGGCGATTAGGGATGGGCATGATTAATCGATAATTGATCATTAAGAATTTCATCGATTAGGTTAATTTTAATCGACAACCCGAATGTAGGTTGCTGTGCTGTGCGCAGCGTGACCAAACAGGGGTCTGTACATGTGTCTCTCTGCACTCAGAAGGAGCGAGACACAAACAGTGGGTCAGTCTGCAGCGTACCGAAGCACAAATGTGGATTTAACGATGATTTGTACAAGAAATTCCAAGCTTTCTGTTGTGTTCAGGACAAGTGTGAGTCCTTGTGCACAGTGTATAAAGCAGCACATATATGTTTCGGTGTCCAGTGGGAAGAAGCTTTACCAGGTGAGAGTCGCACAATGTCGATGATGAGTCCCCACCTCCCTCCCCCCGTACAGTCCTGGTTTTGACAAACGCAAATCTGGTCACACTAACCTGTATTCACCTGAGTCATGTCTTTTAATCCAACAGAAATTGACCGCATCAGTGACAAAAGAGCTGTAGTTTTATCTTCGCTGAGTTTATGCAAATTAGTGATGCGGTTTTAAGTTTGGTTTCTGTGAGAGTTGCTCAAAACTGAATTAAACACATTATAATGTCAAACGGATTGATGTGGCTCTAGAGTCGTTACAGTTTATATGTCGTAAAGTTGAATTTATTTATGCAGATTAGTAGTGCAGATAGTAATAATAATGATGATCATTTTAATATAAAAACGTTAATGATTAATCGATAATCGATCGTTAATTCTTCCGACGATCGATTAAGAAGATTTCATTGAATGCCCATCCCTATCGGCAATTGTATCAGCTATCAGCAGCTCCAGTTCCCATTATATCGTTGTCATATCGGCCACAACAAAATCCATGTCCATGTTCGGGCCCTACTATTAATATTGTTTTTTTTTTCTTGTACAGTATTTTCTCTACTCTTTTCTCTGTACTAATAACCAAACCTGAAAATGAGTTGTGGGCCGGACCAGGTCTATTGGTGGACCGGATCTGGCTCTCGGGCCATCTTTTGAACAGTCCTGTTTTAGCCCCCAGTCCACCAGCCCTGATTTAATCTCATTTTACCAACAAAACTGCACCGTTGACAAATTTGCACGAATCACATGTCAAACCCCAAAAGCGCAGAATTGAAATGATTCTGTATTTAGCCTGTGTTTGGGTGGACAGGAGGAGGAGGCGGACATTTTGAATCGTTCTCAATAATTACTGAGATAATGGGCTTGAGTGGGAGGAAACAGAACTGATAGGTAAAAGTGAGAGTGGATACGATTACATGACCAGAACAAATAGAGGAAGTGCAATGAATTTTAACTCTTTCGATTTTGTTTTTTTTTAAGGGTATTTTACTTCTATGGGGCATTACCTGCACACATAACTTATTTAGCTTGCCCTTTGCTCTCTGCGTTAAGTCCCTCCCCCTTCAGAGCACCATCACAACACAAACGATCTCCTGCAAAATCCATCAGGTTTGTCAAGATGTAGTGCACAATTTGTATCACGTATTTGTATATTTATGGAGAATTGTTGTGTGTTAGCATGGGTGATGTAGGCCTGTGGGCGGAGCTATCAATAAGTAGGGTAGGGAATAGGGCCTCGTAGAGATCACTAGATTACTCAAACATGCATGGATGAATCTCAAACCTCTTCAAACATGTTTTTGATGAAGGAACAATGTTATAACAGTAAAAAGCTAAAAACTATGATTTTTTTTTTGCAGTTTCTCTTTCATTTTTATCTTCACCACATTAGTTTGTCCTTTTTTGTATAATTGTTCCTGCCAGAACCTGCACAGGGGTGAAAAAAAGGATTACGCACATCAGATGGAACAGTCAACATTTCTGTAATCTGATAACAACAGAAATCAGATCATGAGTTTAGACTGAGTTGAGTCCTGGCTTAGTTGCTGGTTCTATTCTGATTTTGTAGTCCTGGTTTAGTCCTGCTTTAGCATTGGTTTAGCCCTGGTTTCTTGTGATTGAATCTGGTTTTAGTCCTGGGTTAGCTTTGGTTTAGTTCTGGTTTAGACCTAGTTAAGTCCTAACTTAGTGCTGGTTCAGTCCTGATTTTGTAGTTGTGGTTTAGTCCTGGTTTAGCTCTGGTTCTGTCCTGGGCCAGTCCTGCTTTAGTCCTAGTTTAGTCTTGGTTTAGTTCTGGTTTACTCCTGGTTTAGTCCAGGTTTAGTCCTGGTTTAATTCTGCTTTACCCTTGGTTTAGTCCTGTTTTAATCCTGGTTTAGTCCTGCTTTAGTCCTAGTTTAGTCTTGGTTTAGTCCTGGTTCAGTCTTGGTTTTGTCCTGGTTTAACCCTGGTTTAGTCCTGCTTTAATCTTGGTTTAGTTCTGATTTAGCTCTGATTTAGTCCTGGTTTAGTCCAGGTTTAGTTCTGCTTTAGTCCTGGTTCAGTCATGTCTTAGTTCTAGTTCAGTCCTTGGTTTAGTCTTGGTTCAGTCCTGGTTTTTGTAGTACTGCTTTAGTCCTAGTTCAGTCTTGGTTTAATCCTGGTTTAGTCTTGGTTCTGTCCTTGTTTAGCCCTGGTTTAGTCCTTGTTTTGCTTGTTTCCTTTTTGTTTGTTAAACTATTATGGACCAATAATTGTTTCACTGTTTGATTTTCTAATTCCCTGTGGCTTAAATCCTGCTGCTGTCATTTGGGGCTCTATATAAACTAACCGAAACGTAATCATAGCCATGGCTTTGAAAAAGACTAAATCAACTTTTCGATTCTGTTTTGTGTCTCTTCCTCAGGTCATTTTCCGTAAAATCAGCGAAGTTCGAAAGGAGGAGGAGGAGCGGGAACGCGCCAAGAACGAAGTCCAGCTCACCATCCCCCAAGACCACCCAGTCCGAAAACTATTCCAGAAATTCAAACAACAAAAAGAGCTACGCCACCAGGGATCAAACTCCGTCGATCTGGAAAAAAATCAAATCCAGGCCGAACACCAAAACCTGCACCAGCTCGGTCACTCCAGCCTCCAGCACTCCCTCCCTCTGAGCCGATCCTTCCAGAACGGAGCCCCCGTCAGCAGCAGCGTCCTGACGGTTTCGCAGATAACGCCGATGCAAACGTACACTGACAGTACGACAAAACCGAACAACTGCGACGTAATGGAGGGCGTGGAGCAGGCGGTGAGAGCCAAAGCCAGCCCGGGCACGACGCTGGCGAAAACAGCAAAGGCGAGCGCTTGGATGAGGTTAAAAAACAACATGGCGGCTTCCGAAGTGAGGAAAGACGGTTTGAATAACAAGGCGGCGTCGGCGGAGATGCTGACCCAAGATGGGAAGAAGCAAGAGATCACCGCGGAGACGGAGGAAAGCGGGAATTTGCGGAAAACGGATTCGTGCGACAGCGGGATTACAAAAAGCGAGCAGAGGATTGATCTCCACAGCCCCCTCCAGAGCTCGGGGGGATCTCCGCAGCCGCTGTACCCGGGGTCGGAGCCTCTCATTCGGGCGGCGCTGCACGAGACCAGGGCGGAGCTCCGCGCGGACATCCAGACGCTTGGGGGCAGGCTGGGGCGGCTGGAGGCGCAGGTGAAGCAAATTATTGAACTGTTATCGGACAAACGAGGTGAAGACGAAGAAGAAGAGGGGAAGGAGGAGACAGGGCCGACCGGAGCAGACAGGTGCAGACAGGAGCACAAAGACAAAGCAGCGACACAGAAGCAGGACATATTCACTGTGTCCAGACCTGTGACGCCGGAGTCTCAGAGGGCCGAGGGGCTCTGAGGGGGAGGGGCTAAAAGAGGGAAACTGGAATCTGATTGGCCAAGTATCCAATTATTCTTCATTTGCCACGTTTACATGAGAGCTTTAATTCTGAATAAAAATTAATTCTGCTTTAAAAAAGACCATCTAAACACTTAATTCCTAACGTAACTGAATTTCGAAGTAAGTGGATGGTTTAAGCCCTGATGAAGACCAGTTTAGGTCAAAACATGTTGGCTTTGGCCATTCAAATAAAGGCCTTTTAACTATATTTTTCCTTGTGCGATTTTGAACTTTTTCTACTTTTTTGGAGTGCCTGGAGTCCATTGTGTTTTAGTTTTGATCCTTTTTCCAAGAGCACCCTCTACCTGCTCCCACTGATTGGAACACCTGCAGCAAACAGCCACATTTTTGTTCTTTCTAAGTGGATGTTTTATTTTGTTTTTAAAGCCAAATTAATTTATTCCTGGGTCATGTAAATGTTTATTCTTAAAATAATCCCAGTCATTCAGCAAATGCTCGTTGTATCGTCCTTCTGACATGATCCAGACAATCCGGCTCCACCAGTCCTGGCTTCTGACTTTCATCCACGTCTCTTTGGATTTGTGAGTGGGATACGGGAGTGGGCTGAGGTAGAGCAGCCGTTGACTCAGTTTGTCTTCTTCCTCCTTCTCCTCCTCAGCTGACAGACGGAAAGCGTGATGAGAGAATTCTCCAGGTGCTGCGCAATTTTCATCGGAACTACTGTGGGAAAATTTTGGATCACGTTTGTGTCCGTGGCGTAACGACAAACTGAGATGACAGAAAGGCCGGTAGCAGCTGAACTGTGTGTTTTCTTCCGGTCGACGTAAATACGTTGATGTCTCTATTCAATCAGAACCTTCCCCACCACCAGACATGGAGCGGAATTAAATAAAGACAAGTACGTTTTCCAAATAAACCTCAATTCAGAATTATTATTTCCATTTAAACTCCAAGCAGAATATTTTAATTTCTATTTAATTCAGAACAGTTTTTTCGGAATTAAAAACATCATGTAAACGTGGCCAGTGTCTCTGGGTTAAACCTGCATTTGACTCATCCTTCAGCGTCTCTGGGTCAAACTCATCATGGTCAGGACTAACTTAGCCGGAGGATCTGCCCTATAGTGCATGAAGAAACCCACCCAGACACAGGGAGAACATGCAAACTCCACACACAAAGGCCCAGGAGTTAAAGCAGGAACCTTCTTGCTGTGAGGTGAGAGTGCTAGTCACCCAAGTTCAAAAACAACTCAAAATGTCGCCTGTTCAGGAGGATCAGTTTCCTAGTCCAATCAGGTTAATTTGGTCTTCCGATATTTTATGTTATTAAGTTCTTTATTCAGACCAAGAGTTTGTTTTCATCCCTGACAGTTTCGACTGCTCACTAGCGTCTTCCTCAGAGTCACGTGATGTTGCTCTGACATGTCTCGTCAGCTGATTTAAACAGGTTTTGGCTCTGTTTTCCTACCGATGGAGGCAGGACGACAGCGCCATCTGCAGTCCGACTTCTTCAGGACAGTATCCCAGGTGTGTGAGAGTAAAAAAGCCCCTCGTCTTGGTTTATCGTCCAGTGGGCACATTTCTGTATTTCAATTGCCTCTTCAATCCAGCGACGATGTTTGTTGTCCTCTGTCTCAATGATGTTTGCTCCGTCCCAGACCATAGCCTGGTTTTCTCTGGGAACACTTGGTCTGAAAAAATAACCTAATAACACAGTGTCAGTTTCTGTTTATAGACGCCATTTTGAGGACTTCATTGTCGTTACTCTAAAAACATGGATAAGACTTTATTACAAAAGATTATAAAACAAAACGAAGTGATTAAGAAGAACTGGCCATAAAAACAAATAAAAACAAGTTGAACTCTGGGACCCTGTGAGGACCTTACGGACTCGGCCTGTTTCTCCGTCAGGGCTCACCCAGTCGTCGTTTCTGGATTTCACTTTTTGCACACGCTCTTCAGGTCACATGACAGGTCTCTCTGGATCACATGACTCTCTGATTGTACAGATCTTTCTTTCTCTATCTCCGTCTCTCACTCCCTTACCCCACTCTCTTCCTCTTCTCTCCTCTTTTCTCTTACCATCCTCTCCTCTGCTCTTAAGGTCCTAGATTACACAGAATAGACTCTGTGTGAGCTTTAAGTCATGTTATAATACTGTTACCTCCTCAAAAACAGCTGGAGTTGTGTTTTGTTTCATTCAAGTGTTTGAGTAATCCTTTATTTTTGGTCTGTCTGCATCTCCAAAGCTCTAAATGCTCTGCTCCACCTTGTGATGTCATGAAGTGTTAGTTTTCAAGTTAACTACTTTTTTTTTTTTTTTTTTTACCTTAAAGGGCCCATCTCATGCAAAATCAACTTTTCAGAGCTTTCTACTTTCTAAAAGTGATGTGTGGGCTTTATATATGTCGCCGATGTGTTGTGCCACCCTCCCACCTCAACGCACCTAAACAAAACCTCAACAAAAACAACAGCATAAGATTATTGTTCTCCACTGCAGTGTACACGATATAATAAGTTGATCTACTAGTGTTTATTAATACTTTACCAGTCAGTAATGTTCAGTTGATGTGGACCCGGTGCTTGAGCTTCGTGTTCCTCAAAATCCTCGTCTGATTCCAGGTCCAACACATGCGGCTGAACGCTCTGTATCTCCATGATGAATAAAAGTTTATTCCTACCACTATCAGGGCGCACGTCTGTCTCCCCCTCCCACCCTGAGATGGCGGAGGAAGGGCAGCTCACTCGTCGCCTAAGTTACGTTTGGAGGGTGGAGCCTGTGCTTTCTCAGGACGGGCGGGGGAATGAGCAATAGTTGGACTTTCATAGTTCCTGGTCTGTGACTGTCTCCAAGAAATCAGTAAGATTTCAGAACTATAGTGTAATGGATGTTCCAAAACCCAAATTGAAGATACAATGTGAAAAGAGTTATTTTACATGAGTGGCAATTCCAGGATTGAAATGATCAGATCAGCAGTCATTTGGTACCGGGTGGCACAGAAAGTATAAATAACTTACATTATTTTCATTTCTTTTATTATCAAAGTTTGAGCAATGTTTAATTTTGAAAAAATGACTGAATTCTCTGTTACATCCATCTATGGCTCATTCTTGATGCATGTCCAGATGTTTGTCTTGTTCATTAATGCGAATATTAAACCCACAAGCTGCAAAATGAGTAAAAAACAGACGTCTTTGGAAACATTTATTATTATATTAACAAAATACCACAGTTTTTGTATTGATCATATCATTTTATTTTGTCGTATTTATCCATCACAACTTAAAAGCTGGTCTGTAAAAACATTGTCTGACATTAAACTGATCCGTGGCTCAAAAAAGGTTGGGGACCGCTGGTTTAGATGATTCTAGTGAAGGTGTGTGGCGTTTAAAAGACAATGAAGCATTTCCTGTATTACCGCATGACATCACAAGGTGGAACAGTGTGTTTTCAGTTTGAGAAGAAAGCCTAAATATGCAGGATTTGTGTGTTAAAATGTGTGAATGAAACAAAACACAACTCCAGGTCTGTTTTTAAGGAGGAACATTACAGAGGAGATCAGAAAATAGAGTAATATGGGTCCCATTTATCCCTACTTTCTCTCTTTCTTCTTTTTCCTCCTCCCTCCCTCACCTCTTCCCCTTCATTCCTCCTCTCTCCCTCTCTCTCTGCATGTCCAGCTGGTTTCTGGCCTGCCTCCGTCCTCTGCTGTAAACCTGTACACACGTGTATATCTGTAGACTACACTTTAGAGCATGTCTCAGTCTCTTGTACAAACAGATATTTTTATTAAACTTTGATTCTTTTCAAACTGTAGCATCAGATTTTCCTGTAAAACGCTGCATGGATCCGATCTCCAAAGACTCACACTTAGGGACGAGTTTTGCCTGTATTTAAAGGTGCACTATGTAACTTTTCTGGTGACCTGCTTGTCTCCATGGAGATGTTGTTTTCTCTTGAATGTCCCAGAGTGACATTAAACATGTCCGTCTTGTGTTTGCTCAATAACATGTTTTTTTTTTTTTACCTACAAACTTACATTCTGACTGAGTGGGCTCGCCTCTCCACAGATCTGACATGTAAGTTGGTTCTGTGGCGTCACCTGCTGTTTCCGTAGAGATAAATAAGTGTAATGCTATACTGTGGAATATTTTTAGGCTACGTTCAGACTGCAGGGTTGAAAGCTCATTTTGGATTTTTTTGTGAAGTCAGATTTTTTTGCGAGGTCGTTCACATTTCCAGTTAAATGTGACTTGTATGTGATCTTCAGTGTGAACTTTAAATGCCCCAAAAGTGTTCCACATGCACATTGCAGGACATGACAACGTCACACACAGCGAGCGTGTTCAGTGTTTGTCCTTCCTACAGGATTTGGGAAAAGCTTAATATACCAGTTAGCCCCGTTAGCGGCGCATTACATACGTCATGACCAAATAACCGGTTAAATAAAAAAGTAACTGCCTACCGTCAAGCGTATGAATCCTAATGCTGCGAGGTCAGATGATTTCTATGAAGTAAAATCAGCTGATGAATCAGGCTAACTTGTAAGTGATGTCCAGTGTGAACTTTGAACGCCCCCCCAAATATTAATGAACTCACTAAGCTTGCTTCTCTTCCATTGGCTGGACTATGAGCCCTGAAAATTCTCTTGCATTGTTGTCCACCGTGGTTGTGTCTTTCTTCCAGTTTCCGCTAGCCAGACTGGCGCCACCTAGTGCCTCCGCTCAATTTCATTTCTATTCAGCGACTCGGTCAGGAATCAAAATACACTAGACGGTTCACAAAAACCCCGGAAGTGCAAGTTCGGGCACCAGCCAATCAGCGAAGAGCCAGACATTCTCGGTTGGCAATGATTTCTGAAATCGAGGATTTAAAACTGGAATTTTTGGTGAATTTTAACAAATGGGGAAAGACGTTATTGTCCTTCTTCCTACGGGATTTGGGTAAAGCTTAATATATCAGTTAGTGCTGTTAGTGGCACATTACATACGTCACGA